CCCCCACTAGCCATGCCTCCAACTCACACCCCCACCCCACCTGGGCAGCGCCTGCCCCTGCCCCATCCTTCCCTCACCATAGGGGTGATGATCTGCGCCCCCCATGCCTTCTCTTCCTCCTCCCTTTCCCACTCACCAGCTGGAGGCAGCTCTCCACGCTGCCAGCTCTGCTCCGTGCTGCGGCTGTGTGCACCAGGGGCATTTATCGGGCTGATATCCAACACAGCAAATTTCCTTTATATTGGTACCAGATAAGAATCTGATAAGAAACCTCTCTCAGGCACTTTTGTGCAGCTTATTTCCTTGATAATAGTATTAGCCCCTCTTCTGTTTCAGTGGAGTTTCAAGTCACTCACATAGCTGGAAAAGCATTATTATAGCTTCAGGGAGGAGTCCAAGGCAGACAGGATGAGTTACTTGCTCCAAATCAGATGGCAAATCATCAGTAAAGCAGTGAACAAGACCCCAGCACTCTGTTGTGCCACATTTTTTCATTGACCTGTACCGTAATTAAAATACTAATATACAAACCTAGCTAGATTAATTGCTAAGCCTGCCATGTTGACACACCTACAAACCAATGGACTTTTCAAATAAACTGTTGTGTATTTAAATTAATATTTAACTCAAAATTAACAAAGCAGTATCTTACTGTATTCATTAGAGTTGATTCTGAATTAGCAACCAAGACAAACACGTCAGCATCTAAGCAGAATTTGTCAATCCAGCTGTCTAGCTCTGTAGTGACATCTGTGCCAGGGCTGTTGGGGGGAAAAACATATTTATTATTATTACTATCGAGCAAAGCAAAACTCTTTTTTCTTAAAAACAGCAAGAGGACTGAGTATGTCAGGGCCTAGGTAACGGAACATGAAGTCTAGGCTGCTTGCTTGAACTAAGCCTACTTGGTCATGAGAAAGCAACTACCATCAGTCACTTACAAGACTGCCAGCTCATTTCACAAGTCAGTTTCCAACAGATCTGTGTCCACAACAGAAAAAGCCACCAACAAAACTAGCACTATGTCAGCAGAGGGTCTAGAGGCTGAACAATACTCAGTTACACTTTCATCCTTATGAAAGATCCCTCTAAATAAGGGAAGCAACACTTTAATAGGACAGTACAGGAAATGCCTTTTATGGCTAGAAGACACCAGACATCCGTGTTGTTACTACAGCATAGCATTAACATCACAACTTTTATCAAGCCATCTCTAATGACGGAATGTTTTGCCCCATAAAGTTCTTACATTTATGACTTTACTTTTGCATTAATGGAATCATAGAACATCTTATCTTAGATAAAATGAAAGCTTCTTTCTTGCCAAGAAATGATTTAGCTATCAGAGCTGCCTTTTGCATATACTAAGGGCTCTACAGAGTTTGTAAGCAGACATGACACAAATGGCCTGGGAGAGGCATAGGGATTGTGAAGGATACATGGCTGAACAATTTTCAAGATTCCCCAGCATCGCTGGCCAAACTTCATCAGAATATTTTTTTTTAATGCTTGAACAACTGAAAAAAGGGAGACCCTTAAACAAATTCTGGACATCTAGAGCTAGTGAAAGAACGTCAAAAGTTTCAACAGATATAAACTGCTGAAGTTTCACATCTAAACCAAAAATATACGATCAATTTTTCTTCAAAAGAGTTTCAATTTTTCAGCTAGGTTATGGAATTTTGCATACACCATAGGACACTTGAGAGTGAGTATTTCTTTGACTTCAAGGCAAAACCTCAAAGAAATAACTAGATTTCAATAAAGTTTTGCCTGGGTAAGTCTATGGAGTTCTTTAATTTCTTTGGAAACAAGAACACTTGGAAGTGCAGTTCTAATGAGAAAAAAAACCAAAAGAAAAGAGCATTGTGAAACTCTTCATTATGTCTCAATCATTTCCACTTCAAATGTGCTCACTTTACCAGGAAAGAAATGATTTTCCTCAGCCTCCAGTCCCAGAACAGATTAGAGAAGCTGACAAACTAGAATCCGAAGGTCAAGTCATGACCCAGATTATACCTGTGCAATCCTAGTGTCTTCAATAATGCCCCCAAGGCCACCATACAATTTATTCAGTGAGTTGCCTAGGTGTCACCATGGTCAAGTATGATTGTACAGCTAAATGCAATGTTTGTTGGTGATGTGCATAAGAAAGATAGAAGCAAGATTACTCTGTCAATTGAGCTGCTCTGTATTGTTTACCTAGTGAAGACAGGGATTTGCTCCCACTGATTTCAAGGGTGTAGGATCAGATGCACGAGTACAAGTACTATTTATATCATGGTAGTGAGTAACCTGCACTATAAACATGCCTGTTTTGCCAAGTAAGAAGGTTGTATTTATAAAATTACTTGTAAGAACAAAGCAGGCTTTAGTTTCTACGAACCACTTAAGAGCTGATGTAAAAAAACAGTGGCTAACACTAAAGCACAGCTGGAATATTCTTATGTATTTGATAAGTTTGAAGAAACACATTCCACAATTTCTCTGATTCTATGAATTTTTGTGCATCTGTAACTCCATAAAAAGTGCATTTGATATGAACATAGCACAAGCAGGGACTTGATAAAGTTTTGGCGTTTTAGCTACTTCTAGAGCACTGTACTAATGGCACTGAAGTTTTTACCAAAAAGACCTTTGCATCATGAGCCCCAAAAGCCTACATTTCAAGTGGTCAGAATGAAGGGGTTCATAGAATGAGAGGTTAACAGGGAGGAGAAAGTGTTACAGGTGTTAGTATGACCTTAAGTATATTTTCATACTACTAAAGTAGAAGTTTAACTTAGTCAAATGCTGGACCCATTCTGAACTGAGTCACGGGATTCAGAGTTGTTCCAACTGTAACCATGCCAAAATATGCACAGTAGCATGGTGATGATGGCAGACAGAAAGCATCTACAATAGAACAGAGTTCAAGCACAAAAACACTCTTAAACAATTTTGCAACCCACCAAAGACAAAAAATAAAAACAGAGCATTATTACAGCATTTAAACCAGATTTCAGTTACCTGACTAGTATGGAACGGTTAATTTGGAAAACTCAGTTAACTGGTTTAATAAAGCAATAGTTATACCTGTCCACCAAAACCAAGTCATCTCTCAGGAGGGCACACTTTGACTTGGGCCAAAAGACATGGACCAAGCAGCCAGCTTTCAAGTCTTTATCCATATGAAGTGCATGGGCAAGCTGATTAACAGTCTGCAAAGAATCAGAAAAAAAACACCTTGTAGGTATACAGCATGACAGCTTAACACAAAACCCTCACCACACAGAAACCAGAATTTTTGCAGAAGTAAGACTCTCTTACTAGCCTTACACAGTCCTCAAATAGGACACCAGTACAAGATTTGAACTCACAACTTAAAAACTGTGAATTTCTTAAAATGTTTTTTCCACCCAAGTTTTTCCATAGTCCCTCGCCTTTGAAGAATAGTCATTTTCTGTCCTTGGAAAAAAGGACAAGACTGTCTGGCTCTTTGGAGCCAAACAGTGGTATTCCTAATTCAAGGTTACAATTGAGTGTAGTACTGCACTTGCTTTAAAAGGAGTAAAATAAGCATTTAAATAAGCTAAGTAAGTTTAGGTAGACAGAGGCATATTCCTCCTGTAAGTTTTTGCAAGAAAGTTAGCCTTCCAGGGTAGGTACAGATATTCAAAAAGCCTGAGGCAGAATCTAAGTGACTCAGTTTTCTGCAAGCGACTCGGTTTTCTGTAAGCAGCGTCATTTAGATCAGTACTGAACAGAACACATTTGCCCTTTGATGGAGGGGAGGGTTAAATCTTAGACCAGGTTCTTCCATTTTTAAACCAGTCTATGTATGCCAAACTTCTGTTGTGTTACGGGTATAGATCAGTTCTATGTGTTGTACTTCTGTCCTGTTACAGGTATAAACTGGTTTCTGATCACTTATACCAGTACAAATGTAGGGCGCCTATACACATGCAGCGAGGCTGCTCTGGCACCCTGTAATTATAGTGTGTTGGAGTCAACTTGATTAATTGAGTCTGCTGGAGCATGGTAATTACTGCATTCCAGCAGACTCCAGCACCATGTGTATTGCTTCCACACACTGAAAAATGATGGTAAGGTGCTTTAAAGCTTGTTCAACAAGCTTTAGTTAGTGCTCCCACAGCCATTTTTCAGCATGGGGAAGCTGATACACATGATGCTCCAGGTACTTTAATAAGAGTAGCAGAGCCACTCTAGTTAAAGTGCCTCCCCAGCCCCCTACTCCCAGAGCAGGTGCATAAACACCCGTAATGTCTGTACCTGGCCCTAGAGCATTAAAAAGAAGGACCAAAAGTTATGCGACTATACAAACAAATCACAGTGTACATGTACACTCTATGTATAGCTTAAGCATAGGAGAAACCTAGGAAAATGCTGTGGGCTCTCTTTTACTTTTATTTAATTATTCAGTACCAGAGGAACTATTTTACAAAGAAAGATACGTTTATATTTCCCATTAAAACTTAAGAAGTGCATGAAATATTGTACCTAATAGAAATGGTCCTTATAATATTACTTTTTCCCAGCACCAGCTTCTTAACCACAAAAAAAAAAAATCTACCTTGACACTCTTCTTCTCA